CGTTCGGTTGGCTACCAACGGGCATCATGATTGACGAGGATCTATATCACTGGATGACATGATTGATGATGGATATTCAAAGTGGGACTTTTTGGGGGGGGATTTAATTATGAAAGGACTTGTTAAATCTGTGTGGTGTGTTTATTTACTATCTTAATATTTATTTGGTGAATGAGTAGGGGTAACAACTAGCCTTACTCATTCAAAAGGGGGGCAGCGTCTGGGTGCTCAATTTATGAAAGGGGGCAACAAGATTCAGATAAGCCCCTCTGCCCACAGCTTCCCACAGCCAATAGGCCAGGGTTGTGGGGAGGATGCCATTGCCCCCATAAACATGAGAACCCTGCCGCATGTTGAGGGCAAGTGACGTGGTTTGGTGCAGGAGGGGGGTGCATGATTGCCCCCCACCCCTTACTGCTCTACCATGCCACTGCTCAGATCAAGGGTCTGGTAAGGTATTTTGGGGGGACCCCAAACTTTATCTTTTTGGCATGGGGTCCCCCCTAAAATTCCCCCTAAAGAGTCTGGTATGAATTTGGAGGTGCATCCCATGCTCTTTTTATTTCAATTTTCATATTATTAACATATTAAACTCCATCCAAACAGATTCAAATAGATCAGAATTCCCAAAACAAAAACTTTGGATCGATCCAAATTTCAAATAACAAATATCAAAAGGATCCGAATTTCAGAAAAATGCAAAAAATAAAAACCAAAATAAAATTACATTTTTGGCCATGCACATGTATAATTAATATATTAATTATATAAAATTATTATTTCAATTATATACTTAGCCTCCCTGGCGGTATTCCCGAGTGTGGCTTTGCCCTGATGAGTCGGCTCTCAAAGTCTCTGCCTTGGTCAGAATGGATTCTCTGAGGCAACCCATAATGGACGAAGAACTTTTCCACTAATACTTTAGCCACAGTGGAAGCTCGCTGATCTCTGGTGGGGTAGGCCAGAGCATATCTAGTAAAATGATCAGTTACTAGTCCCCTCTATTTAGACTGGGACAACAGGGGCAGGGCCAACCAGCTCTTCAGGGAAACCATCTTTCGGCTCTGTTGGTGGAATGGCATGAGAGTTTTGTACCTTTACTCTCCTTGACCGTGATTTCTGGATCTTTGTTTTACTGGGAAGTGTACAGTGTGTCTTGCGTTCCTGGGATGGAGGTTTAGACACACAGAGAGAGGATTTGGTATTCGGTATAGGTGGAGCCTTAACCACAGAACTTTGCCTCTCCTGTCTCTGTGCTGCGTCCCTAACGTTGGAGCTGGTTAGGTTGAGTGGGTGCCCAATTTGCTCCCTCACTGGGGCCCGTTGAAGTTTCCCCCTTGCTTGGAATATGGCACCTTCTGGGACCCCTCAGTGGTCCTCGGGACCACGCTTGATGGACGTCCCTTCTCTGGGCAGTAGGCTTGAAAGTGACCCCATTTCCCACATCGATAACACTCTCTTCCAGTCACACTAGGAATTCTCCTGTTGGGCATGAAGTCAGTCACTGGAGGTGGAGCGTTGGCTCTATGGTCGGGCCCATAAGCTTGTGCTTCAGCCATTCTTACTACAGCCTGACATAAGGTGGCTTGATTCTTCTGCAGCTCCTTTATGGTTTGATATAGTTCGCGTTGAGTTTGAGCTAACTGAGCGAGGTCTTGTTTTATCCCCATATTAACAGAGTGGTGAGCAGCATCCTGTCTCTTCATGCTCACTTCTGACTCACTGGTAGTTCCAGCATCTTCCTCATCTGTAAGGTAACCATGAGCTGGCACAGGGCAAAAATGCACTTTACCTCTTTTGGAAGTGAAGCCTTCAGAACATGAGGACTGTGCATTCTTTTCCTCTATTAGGGCCTCCTCCGCCCGAATTTCTCTCAATAGTCCTGGATAGGTAGGGATATGATTCTGACCTTTCAGAAGGATTTTGAGGACAATGGGATGATTAGGTGGAGCACCCTGCAGGATTTGATCTAATCGAGTCTTGTCAACTGCCAGAGGATCTACTCCTTTCTTCTGCATGACTTGTCGTAGCACCTTGTCTACTCGAGCTACATAATCTGATAGCTTCTCTCCTCTCCTCTGGTGAGTGTGCTCCAGCTTGTATATTAGATCAGAGAGTTTCTCCACCCTTTCAAAGGCAGCACGTAAGGCATTCATGTAATCTGCGGCAGTGCAGTCCTGCTTGCCTAACCTTAAGTTACAGATGATCTCTGCAGCAGGTCCCCTCAGGCTTTCAACTATTCTCTGTTTCTTTTGCACTTCAGGAACATCCCACTCCTCCAGCGCCTGAGAAGCTTGCTCCACCCAAGTCTCGAAGTCTTCTTCCCCTGACGGGATGCGTACCTTCCCTGAATAGAACCGTAGTTTACGATATCCATAATGAGGGAATTGTGTTGTGTTTCTCGCAGAGTTTTCAGCCAGTTTCCTTATGTCCATGAAGAAAGAGGCTGGTAAGCTATTTGAGACTGACACAGAGGAGTCATTCACTTTCATTACATCAGACATGGTCTCACTGGACCCTTCTGAAGGGCTGGCTGTCACCCTTAGGGGGAGTATCTGTACTCTGATTTCGGGAGTAAGTAGAGCGTTGTCTCCCTGGAAACAATCAGTGTCCCTTTGGGAAAAAGAGGATGATTGTCTGTGGAAGGTGAATGTCCCTCTTTCCTCAGACCGACGTCTGTGAAATGGATGTAGTCTTCTAAGGCCTCCGGCAGGACATCTCGGATCGTCTAGGGGCCATCTAGGGTCCTCTAGGGTACCTGGCAATGATCTCAGTCAGCTCCGTCGGCTCCACTCACTCAGCTGGGCAGGCTGGATTACTCCGGTGGCCGGTTCAGCCACGCGACTAGGCCTCAGTTCGGGTGCTCGAACACAGTCTCTCCGGTTTAGCAGATGAACATCAGTCCTTCAGAATGCTGCTGTACCGATTCTGTGTGTCCCAATCTGTCAGTGGGAATCACACAACTCCGTTGCATGCAGTCCTAATTCACACAGTGCCCCACACACAGGCCTGTCTCCTCCAGATTCCCAAGTCAGACTGGGCACGCTCAGTCCCTGCAATCCATAGCCCTTCCTCCTTCCTCTCGCACAGCATCCTGGGAGTGGTAGTTCGCAAGAGCTCTATTAGCAATCCCCAGTGTCAGTTCTGCACTGCAACCCCCACAAATCTCTGCTTCAGATCACACACAGGGACAAGTTAACTCCTTACAGTTAGGAACAGGAATCGCTGTGATAGCACATATATGTATATTATATAGGGGCTACATTATAATTTATGATTTTGTGTTTCAAACTTTATCATACCCAGGATGTCTATTGGACTCTTGTTTGGACAGATTTAGGTGAGTTATTCCTAAGATTTACTAAGAATTACAGGCCTACAATATAAAACAACAAATTGCCACGAAAAACAATGTACCGCTTTGGCATGCTAAAATCCTGCATAGTCAGACTGCCAGGGAGGTTGAACAATTTCTGGGTGATAATATTGAATTTCATTTATTTATGGGGGATTTTTATGAATGTAAGCAGTTTCTGGCAGTCTTTTATAACATGTGAGCAGTCAGACATTTGGTGCATGTGAGCAGCCTATGACTGTCTGCTGCAACGTGTGACTAATAACAGAGGATTGTGGGTAGACCCATCATGCTATTGAAAAGAATATTTGAAAAGTTTTGTGATCGTACATCATTTTTTCTCAGACAGGTTCTTCTTTTGAAGGCTGACCAAGAATAAGTAATTGATCTTGAACAATGCCTATATACCAGGGGTGCCCACAATTTTTTGTGTTAAGATTTACTACTTTTCAAATGACGAGCTACATGAGATCTACTAACGAAAAAAAACCTCCCTCGCTCTCTCTCTCCTGGCTGTCTCTCCTCGCTCTCCTGGCGGTCTCTCCTTGATATCTCTCTCCTGGCTGTCTTTCCTCGCTCTCTCTCTCTCCTGGCTGTCAATCCTCGTTTTCTCTCCTGGCTGTGTCTCTTCGCTCTCTTGGCTGTCTCTCCTCTCTCTCTTTCCTGGCTGTCTCTCCTTGCTCTCTCTCCTGTCTGTCTCTCCCCGCTCTCTCTCCTGGATTACCTTGCTGTATTTTGCAAACAGTGCAGTGCAGCAGGCTGTGTAAACTAATATTCTTTGATGTAATACATAGCACTTCAACCACCAGTATCCACCAGAAAGGTGTCAGGGAGCTTGGCTCAGCAGACTCATGGTGATGGGTAATAATGTGTGCACAGCTAAACAAATATACCAAAATGGAATAAAGGGGCCACCATTTACACCCTTCGTGATCTACCATCATCAGCTTTGAGAGCTACTGATAGATCACGATCTACCTAATGGGCACCCCTTCAATATACTGTAACTTTGCTCGCCTCACATTAAGCCACAATCCATTTTCACTTATGGGCCGCTAGCTTCCCAAATACAACACAGCTTCTCAAAGCTATCAGGACAGAAGGATATGCGGCACAGTGCGGAGCTGAAACTCTGCCTTTTTTCAGCCCCCACATGATATCATCAACCACACCTCCAATTGTCACTCCCACCATCCATCCTACTAGCTAAAGCACTTCTGAGTTTGCAAAACACATTTTACAGTTTTATCCTTTTTTCACTTCCATAATAAAAGTGCACACCTATTAAAGTTGCAATGCCCCCCCTTTAGGTTGGTGTCTGGAGCCACCTCTGGGTCCTAATACTGCACAGAGCCAAGTTAACTGCTGCAGAAGCCATATATGGGCACGGAGGCGTTTGCTGCTGCTCCTGGATGTAGAGACAAGAGCCACTGGCAGACCTGTTCATTCTGATAGCTATTCTAGGCATCTATTCAGAGCTTTTCCCTCTCACCCCCTCCACTTTTCTCTCCCTGGGATTTCTCTCTTATTAAGCAGTCGCGGAATCTGTGGATTTTGGCTTTTGGCACGCTTAAGTTGTTTTCTGATTTTTTTTTAGATTGCTTTTTGGATTTATCTCTTTATTTTTTGGCTGTGATTGTAAAAAAAGAGGAGTCTTGCTGGAGCTGCTGGCTACTGATGCTTCCTTAACAACAAAGCATTTATTCATTTGAAGTGAAGGTACTGCAAAATGCTTCGATTCAGCATCCTTCCATCCTTTTATTAGGCTAAGTCATGTATTTATGATTGCTGATCCTGGACGTGTACAAGGTAAGGCAGATGTAAGGTGCTGCTGTGCTGAATTCCACTACAGCATCATTGACAATGCTATAAATAACTTTTCTCTGTTCTCTGTATTCCACGGTCATTTAATTGTTTCATTAAATTTAACAATTGTCCAGAGACTTGCTTTTAATGAATCAATATGCTTCAAAGTATAATAGGGATTATCACGTGCATGCTAAAGATAATTAATACACAGCACGCTGAAGTCTTCGTACTGGATGCCATTAAAATGTAGAGCTTGCACATTTACATCAGGACCATTTGTGCTGAAACTCAAAGTAACACACTTAAAAGCATGATCTGCTTTATAATCTTTGACACATATAACCATTGAATGATGTATTTCCATATTGTGTGTATTTGGGGATTTCTAAGGCTTATGTACTGAACAACACCGTACAGTAAATAACTGGTCAGCCAAGCACTTGGAGCATAAGGCTGGTACAGTATGTCCTATTCAGAAACATTTATGTGATGGATCTAGACATATGTGTAGAGCAGTTGGTGTCTGCTAAGTACAAGTGAAGTGAGGGCAAGTTATGTCAGTGCATGTGCATTCCTTATAACTGAACCATGCTGTATGCGTGTTCATCCCTGGTGATACACCACATGAACTAGCCTCTACTGTCTGCTATTGTTTTAGAAAACTGGTAGATGCTGCTATGTTCTTTCTGCCATTACCATCTGTTCTATTCATGTGTATATACCATGAATGTGTCGTGACTCATGACAATGCAAGCATACAAGCTAAAATTTTAAATCCCACAGGGGTTATTTAAGATGACCTAGCAGTGGTAGGGTTAAATGCTAAATCACAGAGATGGGCTATATTGGTCATTTTCTATGCAGCTCATATCTGCCTGGTTTTCTTTCTGACAGTTTGTCAGTTTAACTCTTTGCTTCACAGGATTTTACATTTATGTATACTTGGATCACTCCGCAGACCAGTCTTTGGGAGAGAGTGTGAGAGCTTGGAGCACATGATGTAGTAGTAAAATAATACCTAGTATGAACTCACTGTGATAAATGAATTACAGGATGCTGGACATTTGCTGCTCTGACCTCTTACATGTGACACGGTGTCTACTTGAGCAAAGCTGCCCCTTCAATAACCAGCAGTAGTAAATGAATCTGTAATTATTGGAATTTGAAAAAAAGCATTTGTATGGTTATTGTAATCATACAAGTGTCTTTCATAAAATAATGTCTTGAAAGTATCAGTAAAAATCTAAGGAATTTTTTTAACCATTATATATACTGTACAGCATGCTTGCAATGTGTTTAAGGTATATAATGCAGGTTCAAAAATTGTAATAAGTATGTACATGCACTTCTCTGTAAAAAGATGCATAGTGGTAAAACCTAACTAATTAATTTTACACTAACATATTGTATGATATTTCTGTATCATGTACAGTATTAATTTGCCACAAGACCACAAGAGCTTTATTGTTATACAAATAAATAGCCTGTAAAATAATCATATAATGTCAACAATATCCTTGCCTAATATGTTGCTTAGCCTCTGCAAGGCTAACATGAAATGAAATGCATTTGCCCTTTGCTGTTTTAATGTAATAATATGCCCTTTACTTTGGAAATTCCATGTTGTTTCCAATATCACAGAAGTCCCTTCAGGAGGATTTAATATACTCTTAAATCCTTCAAGCTTTTTTAGGGTATATTGGACTACAACAGTAATGTAACAACAATGTGTTCTGAAATAAATAGTTAAAAAAACCCTCAAAAACATAAGAAAGAA